GAATGCTCACATTTAAAAGGAGAAAATATGTCTGCTCTGTAAGATCTAGAAAGAAATAATAAAGTACAGAACCTGCTTTCCCCCATGTCAGCCTGTCTCCCATTCCTTATTGACACTCAGATTCACATAGATTTAACCCAGCCCATGTGAACAGCCATCACTGTTTCCAGGCCCCTATCATTAAGTTGGTTAGGATGAGTTTCCTAGCTGCATCTTTCATTGTTTACAGGTAAAGTAACACATCTGTCACTTTTTAGATCTCATTCACTGAAGACTAATGAGCAAATGTAAAGCCTGAAGGGAGCTCTTGTATTCCATTATTTAACGAATCTGAAAGCCATGACCATATTCTCTGCTCTGTGGCTGACTCTTACACCTAGAGCATATCTTTGCATTGAAAAATTACATATTTATTTGGAAGACAAAGAGCTAACCTGGATGATTTAGACAAATAGATTTGAATATTAAACTTAAAAGGTATTTTCTTTGCCAATATAAATACACCAAATTTAAGTCATTATCAGAAGTGAATATATGCAGTAGGTGCAAATTTCATGCATTTGTTTTCATGATAAATGCCCAGTGTGTTACAGAGTATTGCATTTGAAAAAAACTCCATATACTCACACTGCAGCTATTCAGTGTGAGAATATTACATGTTTTATTAGAAGCATTCATATTTCTTTAGGGTATGGTAGACCAGTCATCTCACTTTGTTCATTTTTTCTTTGATTCAGTTATTTATTCAGTTATTGGTCATTTTCTCACAGGGTACAATGTTTATGGTACTCCTTGTAATTGCAGAAGACTTTCCACTATTACCTAATTGGCAATTTTTATCTTTACCACCTGTACTCCTATACCTCAGGCCAGCTAAAAAATTAGTAGATTAACATCCTGGGTGAGAATTTTTCCTAGCACTTTTGCTGTGCCTCATGTACTATTACACCTAACCTTTTTATAAAAAAAATCAAAACATTACATAATAACTGGAGGAGAGACTACAGTGGAGTTAACAGATTCTCAAGCACCATTAATTCAAGGAAAATGAAAAGCAAAGCCAGGAACATACTATGCAGTATGGCCCCCTAGTGCCCTCTACCCAGGAGTGTAGCAACATGCGCTTCTACCACTAGCTGACCAACATGAAAAACATATATGAACTATGTTATTCTTACTTGAAAGGATATGTGTGTCTTAAATAGGGAAAAAAAAACACAAATAAAAAATGAGGGGCGGGGGATGGGGAAGGAAGTAGTATAACATGTAACAAATGGTCATTGTATGAGCTATGCCTATAATTGAAACCCTCAGAGTAGATGAGATTATGAAGAGAATCATGTGTAAGTAAAAAGAGAGGGGATCTTAAGACAAAACACTGAGGGATCACTAGAGCGGGGAGAGCCAGCAAAGGAGAACACCACCTGGTGGCCTGAGAGTAGAAGAACAAGCACCCTGCACTGATAGAAGCTCCAGAGAAGGAACAGCCATGTGAATGCTGCAGAGAAATAGAGAGAAGGCTCCAGCCATGGACATTAACATATATTTGCTTTTTCAGTCCCTACCCCAATTAATATGCCAAATATATTTTTAGAAAGCATATCTTGTCACTAAGACATTCCACGAAAAAGAGAGGTAGAGAGAGATAGAAACGTCAATGATGAGAGAGAATCATTGATCGGCTGCCTCCTGTATGCCCCAGCCTGAGGATCGAGCCTGCAACCCAGGCATGTACCTTGACTGGGAATCAAACCACAACCTCCTGGTTCATAGTTCAATCCTTAACCACTAAGCCACGCCAGCCGGGCTAAAAATTTTACTGTTACATAAATGTTGGACTAAAACACATTGATCCTTTCCACACATGCCCCTTTGGAAATCAGCTTTCCAGCAACTTGAAGCATTTAAAGTACTTCCCTATACCTACACAATTTTCCTCTCTGGGGCAATGAGGAAAATTGTTCTTGCTGAACCTAGGTGATTCCTTTTGAAAGGCAAGGAACAATTCTCAAACCCTGACTCAGACAGCTGAGCATAAACTCAGATGGCAGATAATACATCCATGCCCTCAATAGTTCTTCACTGAGCCTTGGTTGTGCCATGCACTGCTTTAGGCACAAGATATATGGTAGTGAACAAACACCTATAGAATCAGGGAGCATAAATCTACAAAAGTGACAGCAGAGGGAGCCAGTGGAAGAACTAGAAACTGTGTCATGGGCTATCCCTGCTGCTCTACCCAGCTTGTTATCCTCCAGCAGTTCTCGAGGGTGTCATATGGTTATGTGACAGATGCAATATTCTGCACTTTATTAAATTTAACAATAATCCTCTGACATTGCAATTTTTAATTCTTTTCCAATTTCAGTGTATAACTAATTGTTGCAATTGTACTAAAAGAGTTTATGTTTATTAGTGTTAATGATAGATCCTTATTACTAATATATGCACTACTTATTAAAAACATAATATGGGCTTAGCACTGTGCCAAACCCTTCACCAACATAAAATTTAATCTTCACAACAGTAATATGAGGCAGGTATTATTTTTCTATTTTGAAGATGAGGTAAATGAGGCTCAAAGTCTTAATTATTTGCTTAACTCCACACAGCAAAAAGTTAATGAAGGCACATCTATCTGACAAAAAAGCCATGTTCTTTCTATTATACAACCTTGATTTAAGGGATACATTCATGTTCAGTTCTTCCTTCAAGTTAATGCAAATTGGTGATTATATTAATGTGTTTGTTTCTATTAGTCTGGAGATAAGGTGAGTAATTAAACTCAACTTGTCTAAAAAAAGTAGAAGTGGCATATATCAGAAAGTCCAGCTAAAGGAAAATTTTCCAAACTTCAGAAAGATTGAGCCTCATAAATTGATCTTCTAAAGAAAAAGTAAGTGATTATGATGAATAGGAAAGGACTCTGTGAAAAATGATAGTACCTAGGAAGAAAAAGTCCTTAAAACTTTTCAATCTAGGCCCTTGTAAATAGCCCAGGTAGCTTATTAAATATTTGTCTCTACAAAGGCCTCTTATTCTACAGGTCTTTTAGGGAGAATTCCCACCAGCAGTAAAGCACCCAGACCATCGGTTCTCAACCTGTGGGTCGCGACCCCTTTGGGGGTCGAATGACCCTTTCACAGGGGTCGCCGAAGACCATCAGAAAACACATATATAATTACATATTGTTTTTGTGATTAATCACTATGCTTTATTATGTTCAGTTTGTAACAATGAAAATACATTCCTGCATATCAGATATTTACATTACGATTCATAACAGTAGCAAAATTACAGTTATGAAGTAGCCACGAAAATAATTTTATGGTAGGGGGTCACCACAACATGAGAAACTGTATTTAAGGGTCGCAGCATTAGGAAGGTTGAGAACCAGTGACCTAGACTCTCCTGGAGCTGACAGCTCCATAGACTCCCCTGAGGGCGGGGCTGGGGTCACCTATGGCAGGATTGCCTCCTAAAGGTAACTGAGCAATATCGCTGTCTTAAACGGAGAAAGAATTTGGAATCACAAAGAATACAAAAAGCCAGCTAGCTGCTCTAATGATGACAGAACTTCTCCAGGGAAAGCACACTTTGTGAAGATGCTTACCATATGTCCTTCTGAGTTCTCTACTGAGTTAGGGTAGAAATGGAAAATGAAATTTTCATAGACAAGTGACAAAGGACAGTGCTGTTCATTGTTATCAGTGCCTGGCTACTGTTTAGCCAAACTGGAAGGAGAGTATGCAGTCAGTGTAATATTGTATGTATATGTGTGTGCTACAACAGAGGTCCTTAATTGTACAACTTATTTAGATTTGTGGTTTTAATTGACAGTTCTTGTGTGTACTTAGAACATAGTCTCAAAGGCAGAGCCAATGTTTTATATAAAATTCTTAGCTCCCCAGCTCCTACCATACTGCTTAGGACATTTATATTGGACACTCAAAAAAATATTTGACTTGGTATTCTTTCCTCAGAGCTCCCAAACATATTCCTTTGCACAATTAGCTAGTCACTTTGGTAATTACAAATTGGCTCTAAATAGCTCTTTTATATATGACCAGTTGATGAGTTGATACTTATCTAGAAATGGAAATGTGTGTCTTCTTGTAAGGATAGAATTAAATTTAGAGCCTGGAATATAAAAGATAATACTCTTGTCATTAAATAGCCACCATAGCCATGCCTGTTGTTTTGTTGCTGTTTTGGGGATTATTTACTAAAATTGGTTTGAAAATTATAATCCCAAGCATGCCACATTTAAAGTTACAGTGGGGCCTTGACTTACGAGTTTAATTCGTTCCATGACGGAGCTCGTAATTCAAATTACTCGTATGTCAAATCAACAGTGAACGAGTGAGACACGTGATGCTGGGCTGATGTTGTGGCGTTCACTGTGACATTCACTGCGCCACCTAGCAGTGGGGTATCTGAACACATTTTTGTGGGTAGTTTTTATCACATGCTAACAGGTGGTGCGGGCCATTTTTGCAGTTGAATAGATTGATTACCGTTATACCTGGAAGTACATACATAATTCACCATTGTATGTGTTAGAGACCCAAATTTTGTCCTTTGGAATTCGTATATCTGCATGTTAGCATCCCTTTAGAGCAATAAAAAAGCATAAAAATAAATGTATTTATACGTTACCTGCATTCTACCGCTAGTCTATAAAAAACATATTAATATGTGTCCCGCGCTCTACTACCAGTCAACGTAAACCGTATAAATATGTTTCCTGCATACAATGTGTGAAGCTGGCTCATAACCCGAATTTTAGCTCACAACTCAAAGCAAAAAATCGGCCAAGAGACAGCTCGTATCTCGAAAAACTCGTTAGTCGGGACACTCGTAAGTCAAGGCCCTACTGTATTTGGTACTTGGGAACAATGATGTTCTCAAAACTAAGGAAAGTTCCTGAATGTATGAATGGGAAGTGAGAATTCTGATATCACAATTAATATTCTTTATATGAATTGTTTTCAATATAGATTTCTTCAAACACTTCGCAGTTGGGTGGTGCCGAACCTGGAAGACGCTGTGGAAAGTCTGCACTCTTTCAACTAGCAGAGGCAAGTTTCTAAGAATATACCGAGATGAGCTATGCAGAGGTGGAAATTACAGAAATTAATCATATTCCTTTAACTGTACCATTTCACCTTTGCCCGTAAAGTGTATTGTATCTAATTTTGAACAATGAGAGGGTTAACCTTAAATTTAGAAAAGAAAAGAAAAAGGCGTCTTGTTACTAAAAGTCATTAAGCATTGAAAAAGGTTACCCAGGGAAATTGCAAAACCCTTTTCACAGGTAGTAATATTTTAAAGTAAGGTCAGGTTCGTCTCTCTCATCAGTTAAATAAGTCCAGCTTGAACCCAGAAGAATGGTCCAGGCCCTTTTCCTCTTTGCAGATTCTCTTGTAACATCGGTAAATCCCTAGAATAGAATGCACTACTTTTAAACCAGGTGGTTGATATTTTAATTTTTGTTGTTTTTAGAGAAGAACTCAAATGACATGTTCTGAGTCAGGTTTTATAACATCTGTCAGTTGTACATCTGATCTGACATGGATTTAAAATTCCTTTGGCAAAGTAAAAAAATGTGTTTTTATAAACCCTATGATGTGGGTGATGGGTTGGGGAGGACGATGCCAGGAGTTTTTAGGGTGGGCAGGAGAGGTGACTTTGCCATGCTGTGACTGCTCTGCCTTAAGGGAACTCGTGGAAAAAAATGTTTTTAGGACACTGTAATAACAGTGCTTTCTTCTGGTGAGACAAATTAGGAGGTAAAAAAAAAATGGGTAACAAAATCTCTTATAAACTTTTTTTTTCCTCTCATGTTTCTGACTTCCTTCCCATGAGTTCCTTCTGAGGTGTTTTGTTGTTGTTTTTAGTGATATAGTTCTTTTACAAATCTTAAGTAGTTTGTTAATTTAATGGGATGGCCTGTCATTTTCCAAATTTTATGGCAGCCTATATCATAAAAGTTTAGGAGTTTTAAATGTCTTAAACATTAAGCTTTTAAAGTTTAGGCAGATCCAAATTAGAAATATAAAAATATGAAGGTCTGAAACAATAAAGAAGTATATAAACAGCAGAATAAACTAATCTATTGTTGTCTGACCTTAAGCTGACCAGCTTCTGTGTGAGATAAACTCAGACCCAAATAGAGATCTGCAAATGACTAGAAAAATGAATGAATCCTTCCTTCCTATCTAATAATAGACAAACATGGTAATTGACCGTACCTTCGCTATGCCTCCCATTGGCTAATCAGCACAATATGCAAATTAACTGCCAACAAAGTTGGCGGTTAATTTGTACATGTAGGCTCCAAGTGGGGGAGGGAAGACTGAAGGCAAGCCAGAGCCACAAAGATGGAAGACTGAAGGCAGCTCCGGCCAGAGTGAAGGCCTGGGTCCTGGGTGCCAGAGGAAAACCTGTGCCGGCAGCCAGGAGAAGGGAAGGCCTATTGCACAAATCTCTTCATGCAATGGGCCTCTAGTACTATATAATAAAAGGGTAATATGCAAATCAACCTAATGGCGGGTTGTGGCGAGAGCCTCTTCTCCCTCCGCGAATCTCTTCTGTCTCCATGGCAGTGCTAAGGATGTCCGACCGCTCCCCTCGGTCCTAAGCAGGCAGTCAGACATCCCCTGAGGGCTCCTGGACTGTGAAAGGGCACAGGCCAGACTGAGGGACACCCCTCCTGAGTGCACGAATGTTGTACATCAGGCCTCTAGTAGTTTTAATAAAATAGAAGGATCTCTTACCCTTTGAGACAGCATGGAGAGACCTGGAGAGTGTTATGCTAAGCGAAATAAGCCAGTTAAAAAAAGACAAATCTCACATGATCTCACTCATATGTGGAATCTAATGAACAAAATAAACTGATGAACGGAGTGGATCCAGAGACATGGAAGCATGGAACAGAGTGCGGAATCTCAGAGGGCAGGCAGAGGAGAATGGGTGGGTGGGAATAGATCAGCCAAAGAACTTGTAAGCAAATATGTATAACCCATGGACACAGACAATAGGATGGTTTAGCCCTGGGGCGGGGGGTGGAGATGGACTAGAAGAGGTCAGTGGGGGAGAGAGGGGACATATTTAATACTTTCAACAATAAAGATTTAAAAAAAAAAAGCAAAAGAAGTGGGTGAGTCAGTAGCAAAGTACTACTGCAGGTAGAACTTCAATAGTAAGGATCTTGCGTATAGTTTGCCTTTGGAGTTAGAGTTGTAAACAGGACTTTGTAAACAGAGAGACTATGAGGCCATGAATTTGTCTAGTGTCTTTCAGACTATAGATTGTTAAGACAATTTATTTGAAAGAAGTCATTATCACCCTGCTGGTGTTGCTCAGTGTTGAGCTTTGATCCTTGAACCAGGAGGTCACAGTTCATTTCCCAGTCAGGGCACGTGCCAGGTTGTGGACTCCATCTCGAGTAGGGGGCTTGCAGGAGGCAGCTAATCAATGATTCTCTCTCATTAATGTTTCTATTTCTCTTCCTTCCTATCTCTGAAATAAAAACAAACAAACAGGCAAATAAATAACAAAACCTGCTAAAAAAGCGATTATCTTGCTTGAATATTAGGAATGTGTAGCCCTCTGTTCAGTTCCTAGTTGTGTGTGTTACACGTATATACAAACACATACGCATGGTTTTTATTTCTGTTTTTTAAATTTAAGTATAGAAAAAAAACAAAAATATTAATTTGAAAAGATATATGCACCCCTAAGTTCATTGCAGAACTGTTTACAATAGCCAAGAATTGGAGGCAGCCTCAGTGTCTATCCATAGATGAATGGATCTATATGGTTTTTAAAATATTAAACACTAAATTGTAAAACACCTAACTTTTATATTAATATGTCTTTATTAAACAGTTTTGTGTTAGAAAAGTGTGGACCTTTGAGGCACTTTGCTGTGGAGCTGGGCGTGCTAGAGAGATGAATTTTCTTTCTTTGGCATAAATCATTTAAAAAAAGGATTCCCTATTAAATCAGAGCTCATTAAAAAAGAACACTCTCCTAATTTGTAGGGATGCATCCCAAATATGAAACAGATGCTATGATCTAACAGATGTTTGAATGCTGGGATCATAATTTAAAGGGGTAAAATGACTGCAATAAGCCTATTCCAATTATAGCAAATCAACTTATCCTCAGACTTAGTTTCTTATAACATCTGAGTAAAACTACATGCTTTTTATGAAACAGGGTCGCTAAAAAATAATTTACCAAGAAAATCTTCTAACATTATTTCTCCCACATGAATGTGATGCCATAATGCCAATAGACTGTGTTTTAGAATAACATCCTGAAGCTTCCCAGTTCCTAATTAAACATAAATATGTGCACAATGGATTAATCAGCATCTCCAAATAATCACCAATAGAAATAGGCTTCCTCAATTTATTTTATTCCATGTGTACTTGGTGCTCATTTTTCTTGAACCAAACATAATATTTCATTATGTTGGGTGCCTCTTTAAATAAGTATAACAGGATATTGAGGAGGATTTTTTCTTTTGGCCAGAATTAGTGGTATTATCTGAAATCTGAAGGAACAGCTTTCAGTTATCCCATCCCACAGCAAAAGCCTACAAGAGGCCACCTCCAATATAGGCCAGACCCTTCTCTTGGGATTTATAAGGAGATGCTAATTCTATCTCATATACTTATAGTGCAGAGGTTTTCCCTCTCATCCCCTCCCTTAACCCAAGTCATCAGTGAGTGGGGAGATATCATAGGCTATCTAATCATCTAGAATACTTTGGCTTTTCTCCCTGACTGTCAAACTGAAGGCAGCTCTAAGAGTACCCCTATTAAAGGTTGGGGGTGGTACCTATAAGAAGTGTCAAGAAGCAAGAAATGTTTTAGACATAGATTTACTGCTGTATCCTTCACCCATCTGAGCAGGCAAAAAAGAACTGGAGGAAGTTGGCAGCAGGGAGAGACTTGGAATGCCCGCTGCACTCCCTTTTGGCATTGTAGAGATGTGTGAGTTCCCTGGGGTCTAGTGGACACATAGGAGGTAGTCCAGCTTGATCAGACAAGTGGCCATGAGACAGTCATGGGGAGGGGCTGGCAGAGAGCCAACCTGGCACAGTGGGGCAGGCTCCTGCACCAGGAAAAACTCAGCAGAGACGGCTTTACTCAGGACACTCTGATGAGCGCCCATAAGCAGGAGTGATCTTCAGCAGTTTCTATCAGTACCGCTGTCCTGGTACTAAAATACTTGCTATTGTTAGTGCAAAGACTGTGACCTACATCCCCTGAGTACCTTGCAGCAATGCTGCCAGCATCCCTGATCCAGCAACTAGAGGGAACACGGGCCTGCAGGACTCTGTCCCAGCCCTGAGACCACATCCCTTCTGACCAGTCAGCACCCCACCTATTAAATATTTTGCATATCATCCCTGTGCTTGGCATCCCCTGACAAGGTCATTCAGTCTTATGTAGAGTTAGCAGGAACAGACAATAAAGAAAGACATACCCGTGGGCAGTTAGTTACTTTTACCTCCACCATTTTTTCTTCTGTCCACTAAACCAGAATGTTTAGGCCTTATGAAGGAAGGTCTAGGAACCAACCAGCCCAAGAACTAACCACTCACCCTTCCCCAATTCCATTCCTGTGGGCTGTCATGGGAGGAGGAGTGAATGAGGAGAACTCCCTAAAGTAGGGAGAAATGCTTACAAGACATGTCTTCTCTTTAGTGAGAAGCAAGAAATATTATAGGCATATATTTATTGCTGGGCCCTATAGGCCCTCAAGCAGGCAGAAAGAAAATTGAAAAAGTTGACAGCAGACACAAAGAGACTTGGATCGGCCTACACTCTTCGTGTTGGCATTGTTTAAGCACCCCTGTCTATTTCCCTGGACCCTGGACCAAAAGATACGCTGGGGAAGGCCCTTCTTTGAGCATTTGATTGGCATTTTAAACTGGGTGAACTGATAATAGCTGAAAGTGACCTGAAAATTCTGGGATCTGTTCCAGAATTTAGGAATCTATTCCAACTGGGAAGAGAGATTTGGCATAGTGCTGCTGAGGTTAGGAAATTGAGAAAAATAT